ATCTCTACACCCCACTACCACTGTTACTGACCTGAACAACGCTCAGTTTCTAGTCATTCATGTTACGTCATCCAACTTATTCACTCAATTTCACTTCTACTTAATCTCTACCTGTAATTACCTCTGTTGCTATCCTGACCTAAGTTGTAACATTTTAGCCAATTATATTACGTCATCTAGTTGTTTTTTTTTTAACTCAGTCTTACTTTAGTTGCTGTCTGATTAACTTTGTCTCTATACTACATCATTCTTGTATTAACTAATCAATTATCTAAACTTGACAAACCTCATGTACACACACACACACACACACAAATATTTATATATAAATGCGATTGTACAGCTATGTGAATGAATTCGCCGAAAAGAGTCTCTTCGCTGAATGTCTTCTCTTTTTCATATGACTCAATGGGGATTTTCAATCTACTCAAACGTTGCAAGGACCCAGTGACGGTGAAGGAGCTGGATGGTTTCCTGCGTTACTCCGTCAAGCTTGCGGTAGCGAAGACAAAGATTGATTTCTTAAGAGATTGTATAGATCGACATGAGTATCCAAAGATGTATTGGAAGTCACTGAGACGCAACCACATCCAACCGAATACCAGAACACTCAGACGACACACACGAAACAACATCGACTCCATTCAATCACGCGTCCCTGAGCTAGAGCGAAACGTCTATTCAAGAGCTCATGCAGTCGAAGACTTAGATCAAGAACTACGCCATTCCTTCGAAGAATATGTACAACAAGTCACTCAGAAAGAATGTAACAAGACTAAAGCAGATCTTCTCAAAAGCCTAAAGCCTACAATTAATACCGAATCTCCGTTCCCAAGCAATCCAGAAAAGTACGTATTCAATCTTTCAGACATCACACTGTCTACTACTCAACTAGAGGCACTATCTCTAGGTCCAAAATTCTGCGTAAAACCACCAAGTATTGACAAGCTACAATGCCAGGTTCAGTTCGAAAATCTAATAAACCAAACTTACGATCTCACACCTACATCAGACGAAAACCTACAACAATTCAAAGCATCAATCCTCGACTGTTGTCACAAGTTTATAAATACCAAACACAACGGAAGGTCCATCTTGACGAAAAGGCACCATAAGGAGCTGAAAGAACTTATGAAAAACGAAGAGATTATGATATTACGTCCTGATAAAGGCGGAGGAATCGTAATCATGAATCGCAAGGACTATATCAGTAAAATGCTGACTATACTATCCGATGAATGCAAATTCACAAAACCGATCAATGAGAAAAACATGACTGAACAAACCGAACAAAAGCTAACGGACACCCTTCGTAAGTTGAAGACTGAATCCTTCATCAGCAACGAAATGTTTGAATCCCTTAGACCGTCTGGCTCAAATATACCACGACTTTACGGACTCCCGAAAGTACACAAGAAGGATATCCCTCTTCGACCGATCCTCGACATGACCAATTCACCCTATCACCGCACAGCTCAATGGTTAGCAGATCTACTTGAACCAATCAGAAAACAAGTTTCCTGCCACACAGTTCGAGATTCATTCGACTTTATTGACTCAATCGAAAACATTAACGTATCCAACAAGACAATGATTTCATTAGATGTCACATCACTATTCACAAACGTTCCACTGACTGAAACAATATGCTATATATGCGAACTTATTCACTCCAAAGGAATAAACATCGGTATACCCACCGAGCATCTTAAAGAACTCCTACTGAGGTGTACCCTGAATGTTCAATTCTCTTTCAACAACGAAATATATCGCCAAAAGGATGGTATAGCTATGGGCTCACCACTAGGCCCTTTGCTTGCAGATTTCTTCATGGCAAAACTGGAAAACACATGCCTGAAGAAAATGATCAACACCTTCGAAATCTATAAAAGATACGTCGACGACACCTTCATTATCGTCAACAACGAAGAAAATCTAGACGACATCTTAAAGTCGTTTAACAACTGCCACCCTGCAATTCAGTTCACGATGGAGAAAGAGTCCAACTCCACAATATCTTTTCTTGACGTCCAACTAACCAGAAGAGAACAGGATGGAACACTGAGAAGATCTATCCACAGAAAATCGACGTGGAACGGACAGCTTACTAACTTTCACAGTTGGGTACCACTATACACCAAACGAAACCTGATCCGTTCACTCAGCTACAGAGTTCGCAGAATCTGCACCCCGGACACCATAGAAGATGAACTGGACAACCTCAAGAGAATCCTCGTCGAGAACTGCTATCCAGAAAGATTTATTGTGAAATCTATGAATCCTAGACCAGAAAAGCAGCCCATACTTAGCGTCAAGAAAAAACTACTCTACATGAACCTCCAATTCAATGGAGATCTATCTGCGGAAACACTGAAAAATCGACTGTCGCGTTCACTTAAGAAGACTTTCTTCGCAGCTGAACTACGACTAACCTTCTCCACAAAACCTATGATTCATGTGAACGTGAAGGATAAGCTACCGCTGCTGGCCTCATCAATGTGCATTTATCAATTCACCTGCTCGTGTGGAGCCAGGTATGTTGGCCGTACCCAGCGCTCGCTTTCCAAACGTATCACCGAGCACTTACCAGCATGGTTTTATAAAGGAGAAAATCGATGCCCCCGCAGTTCCATCTTAGAACATCTGATCGAATCCGGACACCAAGCTACACCGCAAACAAACTTCAAAGTCGTCTACAGAGTAAGAAGTAGTCTCCCTAAAGGTGTACGAATCAGACTTCTTCAAACTGCAGAAGCAATGGCGATCCACTTGCTAAGTCCTGAACTCTGCATACAGAAGAAGTTCGTTCAATCACTACACTTGCAATGGACGTAATCTATCTTATTAGCCGACATGTAAATTCTACCTAATCTTTTCTTCTGTCTCTTCATTAGTATTATTTTGCTTTCTCAATTGTAACATTTTACAATTTCAACTTTCTTGTTCTCTACCCCCACCCGATTCAATCTCTACACCCCACTACCACTGTTACTGACCTGAACAACGCTCAGTTTCTAGTCATTCATGTTACGTCATCCAACTTATTCACTCAATTTCACTTCTACTTAATCTCTACCTGTAATTACCTCTGTTGCTATCCTGACCTAAGTTGTAACATTTTAGCCAATTATATTACGTCATCTAGTTGTTTTTTTTTTAACTCAGTCTTACTTTAGTTGCTGTCTGATTAACTTTGTCTCTATACTACATCATTCTTGTATTAACTAATCAATTATCTAAACTTGACAAACCTCATGTACACACACACACACACACACAATATTTATATATAAATGCGATTGTACAGCTATGTGAATGAATTCGCCGAAAAGAGTCTCTTCGCTGAATGTCTTCTCTTTTTCATATGACTCAAAAAATAATGTTCCAATAATCAGTGGACTTACGGTCAAAACACCCATGGACCAAACGAAACCCAGTCTATTATTTGTGAACCAGCTTTACATGTATTTCGCAAAGTATGTGAAGTAAATCGGCAGTCAGTATTCCGGCTAAACTGGTGACAGACCTATAATCTAATCAATGTCAGATGCATTACACAGTCCACTTCGAATATAAGCACAACGATTTCATTTTACTTTGATCAATCTCCCAACCATAGCTTCTTAAGCAATACTGTCAGTTTAGCCGCCAATCTAGCCAGCATCTTTAAAAATAGTTCAAACAGGTACTATATGATACCTGAGTACTGACAGGTCTTTTCTGATATCCGCTTCATTGCATGTTAGAACTGTAGTCTAGATTGGATTTTTTATAAACAATGCACAGTGGCGTTCAATATGTGAGGGTTGATGACTTCATTCAACTGTTTACGCAAAAGAAGGTGAGGTGGAACTGGGATCCACTGGTTCAACGTGCCTAGATCGATAACCAACACCCGCCTTATATAACAAGCAATCTTTTTTGAGTTGTCACGAGAGATCTGATTGTTTCCCTATGTGGATTAACTTATCTGCTGCTTCTGATACGTAGGCAGTGACCAAGTTATTAACTAACTGCAGGCAGGTGAATATGTCAGAGAATATTGATCGCAACATCCCGCTGTAGTACCATAACACTTCATCGCTTTTTTCTGCACCGATCCCAGGAGGTTGGTCAGTTTTCTAAAAGACAACAGAACTACATTGTGACGCCTAAGACAGAGTTAGCAAATAGGTGATTTCCTGTTGTCTTCAAGAAGTGGGACAGCAATTCCCTTCAGGAATATAATCTGGCGAAATAATAATTTGCTTTATTCCAGAAACAGTACTAGTGGTACAGTGTAGAATTTTCAGCACAATATCTACAATATTTGCATCTAATGTTACAAACATTTAGGAGTATTTAACAACAACAAAAATCTAAAGACCAACAGCAAAAAAAAACAGGATAAACACAAAATTAATTATAAATGCGAAAAAGTACCAAGAAGTAGAAAGGAAAATAAACATCGTATAATAATAACTCACTAGTGGGTAGTGGAAGCTATGATATGATTATGCATGGTGACAGTAAAGCTATACAAAGTGATGATAAGCTGTGTAGAAATTTCATCCCCGAATCAGTTTTGTAAGATCGGATATTACTGGAGCAAATACCATTACCGTGACGTTTTACTCTTGTGATTTGTTGCATGATATATTGCTGTAAAGTCAAACTGTCTTGAGCTATAGCCGATTGATAAATTTGACTCAAGACTGAATAAGCACTTTTAAAAGTGCGATTTATGCCGGGAAATCGTAAATCTCCCGATGAGTCTCTAGCGATACGACCCCATATAACATTAATATCCGTAGAAGGAGGATTCATAATTTGTTCGTCAATCGTCAATTATGAATCCTCCTTCTACGGATATTAATGTTATATGGGGTCGTATCGCTAGAGACTCATCGGGAGATTTACGATTTCCCGGCATAAATCGCACTTTTAAAAGTGCTTATTCAGTCTTGAGTCAAATTTATCAATCGGCTATAGCTCAAGACAGTTTGACTTTACAGCAATATATCTGCCCTCGGAAGTCTCGACTTTCTCCAGTCATCATCATCAGCATCATCTTCCTCTAAACAAGTTTCCTCCAATCCCGTTGGCAGATTAACTCGAACACATGACGACATAATTGTCGAGAAGTTCTCCTCTTTAAAGCGTATTTTTACTCCGAGTAGTAGCAACAACAGTGAAAGCAATTCACCTAGCCTCCCGTGTTCAGATAGTGTCTTATATCGTCTAATTCTCAATTGTGCCACTAGCGAAATTTGGCATTCACACCTTTTTCTACCAGAATTGTGTAATGATCAAACCAGAACAATTGGTACTACTGCTACAACTACAAATTCAAGATCGTTGAGAAGATTTGGTAACACTAGACTTGGTCGTAATTTACACAACATTGGAATAATTTTTACAGCTATATTAACAATTGTAATTGATTTTGAATAAAGAAAATGATTTAAACAAATCGGTGTGAATAGATTGACAATTTGATCAACTTGTTCCACTGAGAGATTCCGGTGGAATTCTGGTGGTGCATAGCCTAAGTCTAATGCTTCAACTGGAGGGAATAATTCATCACGTAAACGACTAATTATAAGCAGCGTAAAAACTTCCATATAAACCATGCCAACTGCAGTTTTGCTGAATCAATTTGATTCGATGATGGATGATAGAAGGATTCAAGTGACTTTAACAACTGTTCTAAACGATAAATCACAGTGGATTGACACTCTGGTCTATCTGGACCAATAGTATTCATTATTAATTAATTCTGCATACAGCTGTATTTGATCACTGTCCATTAATTCTCTAGAAGACAATGGTGTATTTCTAAGCGTAATGCCTCGAAACACTGCAGTGAATATACGCTCCATATGCGGTTCCCAATCGATACGACCACGACCAATATGTGAAACTTTGCATAATATTTCAATAATTTCATGAAGGGATCTACAACTTGGTTGGATATGCCATATACCGAATATGTCTGGTAGCCAGACACGACTAATCTCATCATCAAAATATTTAGGATAGAATGGTGTATAAATCAAGAATTTATGCAATAGCGTACAAGGCGACCCAGTAATCAAATCACTACAAATACTGTGACGAAATGTTAACCATATTTCTTCAATTGACGTCTTCGGAGAGAATTTTGAACATAAAGCGATATTGGAATGATACAGTTTATCAATTCGTGACTTAGGCCATTTACCAACTTGATATGATGTTTCCAACTTTTCTTCAGCCCATGTACAAATATCGAAAAACATTTTCCAGTCAATAGACATAGCAGATGAGTATGGTTTACTCATTAGTTTCTTTAATAATTCCATTGCACTGTTACTAACTAACTTGCGTATCAATATTTGGATAGCAGATATACGCTACAACTAAACGAATCGAAGCCACTCGATGCGTTTTAGATAGATAGACGCATTCCAAAAACGTCAATAAATCTTTGAATTGAACTGAATACTGGACTAATTTCACACACACAGAACATCACCAGATGACAGGACATCACATAACCATTGTGAAATTGACTCCCATTCACCGCGTATCACTTTGTTCAAATTATTCGGATGAATAGGCAGTAAACGATCACTCCGTCTAGACATATTTGATGCAGATGCCAACGACGATGATGATTGGTTACTAGTATGATGATTGCTTACGAATTTGGAAAGAAATATCCCCTTTAATCCACCAAGATGTGTACAATTTTGCGATATTTCCTCAGTAATATAACAACTGGAAAAATCAATATTTAAAGAACCAATCCAGGATGAAGATGACAATGAATTGATCCTGTTGTCGGTGACGTCCTAATTCTGTGCATAATTACTTGATTTGAGGCTAGATGAAGCAACTAAACCGAAATACGTCTGTATATAGTGTTCACGACCAATACTGGTATACGGCTATCCTGATGCAATTACAAAAAAAGAACAATAAGAACAATCAAAATAATAAATTCTTCAATTTGATGGTATAAGATTATTATTATTTCCTTTAATTCCTAGAGGAACATAGGGCTTCAGCCATGCGTCTCCATTGCGTTCGGTTCTCTGCTAGGGTTTTCACCTGGCTCCAGGTCTGCCCACATGCTTTCATCTCTTCTTCGCATTATATCCTCCAGGTCACCCTTGGACGACCAACTCGTCGCTTCCCTTTCGGGTTCCACTCGAGCAATGGCTTGTCTAGTGATGTCACTTGATGGTTTGCTCCCTCAGAGTGTGGTCAGCCAATCCATCTCCATTTCTTGCTGCCTATTTGTTTCACAATTGGTTCCTGCTGTGTTGGTTCGCTCCCAGAGATCTTTGTTGCTGATCCTTTCCGGCCATTCGATCTTGAGTATTGAGCGAAGACATCTGTTAATGAAGGTCTGTAGCTTGTTTGAGGTGCTCTTTGTGACACGCCAAGTCTCTGATCCGTATAATAGCACTGACTTCACATTGGAGTTGAAAATCCGGATCTTATTTTCATTTTCATGCTGAGTAGTGCTGTTGACCTCCACACAGACTTGAGAGTAATGAAAGCTTGCCTTGCTTTCCCGATCCTTGCTTTGATATCCTCGTCAGTTCCGCCTGTAGTTGAAACGATGCTTCCCAAGTAGGTAAAGGAGGTAGTTTCTTTCAGGTTCCTCCCATTTATACTGATTGTTGTCAGTTGTAGTTGTTGCTGTTGGTGGTGTCGCCCAGGAATTTTCATCACCTCTGTTTTCTCTATGTTCACCTGAAGTCCCTCCTATCTTCTCTGGATGCTTCTTCTGCCAACTTGTTGCTTTTCGCTTGCATATCTTCCAGTTTGTGGGAAATCAGACATATATCATCGGCGAAGTCCAGATCCTCGAAGTTCTTTGTGTGAGTCCATTTTATGCCTGTTTCCTCATTGCCCGCTGTTTGTCGCATTATCCAATCTACTGCAATCAGGAAAATCATTGGCGATAGTAGGCAACCCTGTCTTACTTCTGTCTTCACTTTGAAGGATTCCGTGAGCTTCCCGTTGTGGATTACTTGGCATGCAGCGTTGTCATACAACTGTTGGATGAGATGTGTAATTGCTGGTGGCACCCCGTAGTAGCGAAGTAGTTGCCAAATCACCTCTCGATCGACGCTGTCGAAGGCCTTTTCAAAGTCGATGAAGTTGAGATAGAGAGGTGACTGCCATTCCAAACTTTGTTCAATGATGATCCGTAGTGTGGCGATTTGATCAATACATGACTTGTTTCTCCTGAATCCAGCTTGTTCTGGTCGAAGTTTTTCATCCAGGGCTTGTTTGATCCTTTCCAGGATGATGCGGCTTAGTATTTTGCTTGGGATGGACAGGAGCATAATTCCGCGCCAGTTCTTGCATTGACTTAAGTCTCCTTTCTTTGGTAGTTTGAATAGGTATCCTATCTTCCAATTCTCGGGTACTTTGCCTTCTTTCCACACCTTCTCCAGTAGTGGCGTCATCAAGCCTGCTGTTGTCTCTCGGTCCATTTTCAATGCTTCTGCTGGGATTCCATCTGGTCCTGCTGCTTTCCCAGCTTTCAGCATCTTGATTGCCTTCAGGATATCTGTTCTCTTCGGGGGGTTGATGTTCACTGGTAATTCTGCTTCCGTTGTTGGTATTGTTGGGCGCGTTGTAGGTGGCGGTCGGTTTAGTAGTCTTTTTAAGTGTTTCCTTTGCTCCACTTCTTTGGTGAGTGACTTTCCATTGTCATCCTTCACTGGCTTAATTTGTGACGAATTTTTGCCTGAGAGGTACCTAGTTGTTTGGTAGAGTGTTGCGAGGTCTCCTTTACCTGCTGCTTGTTCTGCTTCATTGGCCATGGCTTCATAATACTTTCTTTTGTCTTCTCTGGCACTCTTCTTTACTCCTTTGTTCAGTGTATTGTAGCTTGCATTCAACTCTTGTTTCTGTTGCTCGTCGGTGCACTGGAGAATCTTTTGTTTCACCATCCTTCTCTCTTCTATTAGCCTCCAAGTGTCCGTCGTGAGCCACGGTTTGTCCTGTCATTTCTTTCTGCCCAGAACTTCCATGCAGGTTTCGGTCCATACCGTTTTCAGGTTGTCCCAATGTTTTTCGACGCTGAACTCTTTACCAGTGTTGATTTGTGTCTCGGCTTTGTCTTTTATGCTTGCAGTAAAGATGTCCTTTGTATCCTGGTCCTCTAGTTTTTGAGTGTGGTGGTCTATCTGCAGCTCCTGTTTCTCTGAAAGCTTTTAATTTGAGTTGGATTGTTCCTTGTACGAGGTAGTGGTCTGAGCCAACGTCTGCTCCTCTTCTTGCTTTTGTGTCCAGTAGGCTGCGCCGCCACTTCCTCGAGATTGTGATGAAGTCAATTTGGTTTTTGGTTCGCCCATCTGGTGACACCCATGTAGCCTTGTGAATATCCTTGTGTTTGTATACGCTGTCACCAATCACTAGTTCATTGAAGGCGCAGAAGTCGGCGAAGAGTTCTCCATTTTCATTCATCTCTCCCAGAGCTTCTTTACCCATGATGAGTTCCCTTCCTGTGTTGTCTGGTCCAAGTTTTGCGTTCATGTCTCCCATTAGTATCTCCTACTGATACCGTCGCCACAGTCATATCAGTAGAAGTCCGGGTAAGCTGCCGGTCAGCCACGGTTTCATTATCAGCTCCCCGTTGCCGATAACATCGTGGATGAAATGAAACAGCATGTTCACCCTAAGAAACGCTAAAATAGGAGGATAACTTCTGAAATTAAAGAAGCCATAGCTCCGCAACCGTAAGTCCTACAGGGACGAGACAGGTACCAATCGGTTCGGGGGGTAAAAGCTATTCCTAAGAAAAATACGAAGATTTTCCTGCCTAGCAGTCTCTGCCCCCAGTTGCCCTATGGTTGGTAATGCCCCCTAGCTACATACACAACGGCATACAACCTGAGGTCACGGAGCTAAAAAAAATGTCAAGAGAACAGCCAGCGGCATGAACTCTACGTCTAGTAACAGGTTTCCCCTGTAGCCTTTGAAAAAATTCCCTATTCGGCTGAGGAGAAGCTATAAGGTGTGATACCGGTACCAATGGGTAGATTTCGTCGAGAGCTATCCATTGATATATAGCTCCCCTAAGTCCTAGCCTCCCTGGAAAAATTTTGGCAGCATAACCCCAGAGGGCGCAAGCCCAGATATCAAAGATCCTGAGGAAGGCTGAGGAGAGGCTACAAGGGTCGAAACCAATGTCAAAGGATAGATCTCACCGAGAGCTATCGATTGATATATAGCTTTCCTATGCCAGAGCATCCATAAACAAACTATGACCGTATGGTCCCTAAATGTCCCAACATAGTAAACATGAAGCTAAAACCTAGCCGAAACATGAAAACTACTAATAAAAATAACATAAAAATAAAATAAACTTACCAAATAATTCCATTGATGAGGATTGGAAGCCATCATATGCCTCCAAGTGACAGGGGCTGGCCGTAGAAAACCAGCCATCCGTCCCACGCCATGCCACAATTTCAGCTGCGCCTTCGCGCGCATCATCAATTAAAACAAAATGCCTAACTACGCCTAATAAACAAAAGCTTAATTCTCATTGGCTAAAAATACCCTGTATATTACTATACAAAGGCACAATGGGGAAAACCTGCAAAACTTTAAA